ATTTTTTATTTTTTATTTTTTTGGAGACAGGGTCTGGCTCTGTCGCCCAGGCTGGAGTGCGGTGGCACAATCTGAGCTCACTGCAACCTCCGCCGCCTGGGCTCAGTCAGTCGATCAGTCTGCCCACTTCAGCCTCCTGAGTAGCTGGGACTACAGGTGTACACTACCATGCCTGGCCAATTTCTGTATTTTTTGTAGAGATGGGGTTTCACCGTGTTATCCAGGCTGGTGTTGAACTCCTGGGCTCAAGCAATCTGCCTGCCTTGGCCTCCCAAAGTGCTGGGCTTACCGGTGTGAGACACCGCACCTGACCTTTAATGGCTATTTGTTTATTTAATGAATAAAGTCTTAAGTCCTTTAGCATCAATCATCCATCTGTATTTGAGATTATTTTCCTAGAAAATGCATGCAAACGAGTTGTATATAGTTTCCAGGAGTTCATGAATCAACTGAGAGTCACCCGTGAGCTCTCCTAGCCATAGATCCCCGACTCACCACGTTTTAAGATGGTTCATTCCATCTTTTGTTACAAAACTAGTTTTAAGCTCTGATTACAGTTTTAGTGTTTGTTAAAATGTAAACTGCAAACAAGTATACAAGGTAATTGATTGCTACTTGTATGTTGAAACCTGTCTGAGTTCCATAACGTTATCTGTAGTAACATCCATCAAATCAAAAATTTAACAGTTCCCAGTTCATCAACAATTACTGAAATATAGATTTTTGAAGAATGGCAACTCTGATCATTGTAATATGTGGGAAGTGAAAAATAAATCTATGTAGAAATTTGGGGTTGTTTCAAAATGGGACAGGTTTTATATCTCTGGATTGGAGAATTCAAGTTTTGTTTTTTTTTTCCCCAACTAACTCAGATTTTCCAAAGAAATGTTTAATGCCCTGGCTACTTTCTCTAGAATATTGTTCTGGGAACTAAGGGAATCTGATCTGTAGAAAATGTTCTGAGAAGTGGTTTCAAATAGAATTGCTGCATTTTCAACCAAAATGAAAATGTTGATGGTTTGTTGCTTTTTAATAATTTCACTTAAGCCTAAAAACTGTTTTTGGTGCTTTGTATTTTGTAGACTTTATAGGCATGTTCCTTATAAGAATTATGCATCTGTGTGGAGATGTTGCAAACACCCTGGCTGGAATTGAAGGCAAAGTACCAGTTGCTCCCAGCGATTCCTGTGGGAAGGCTTTATTTGTTTACATTTTTACTTCTGACTGTGTAGTTTGAGCACAGGTACAGCCTCCAAGTTTTTAGGCTTTATAATATACACACACACAGTAGCTACTTTTCTGGGACTACGTTGTTAGTGAGTGGGAAGATGAGAAAACTTTAAACTACTAGGGAAATGACAAAGAAGCTGGTCTGGCCCTTCCTGGCATTAGGTAAGAACAAGAGAAAGTCAGCTTTAAGAGTTTGTAACCATCCATGGACTGGTTGGTCTATGGCTTAGGATTTGAGAGTTTTATCCACCAAGTCCAGGAGTCCTACGTTGTAAAATTAGCAAAGTGGCCGGTGATATTTCAAGGTCACGCATCAGAAGTAAATACATATTTCTGAAAGGATTGTGTCCCGTGGATTTTCTTTTTTAGTACCCAGAATCTTCTCCCCACCCCCAGGATTTTAAATATGGAGGTAAATAGGTGTATGCATGCATGTGCTAATTCTAGATCCAGTACCATTAATTAACACGCTGAAGAGTCAAATTACTGAGCAGTAATTTTCAGTACTTTTTTGTACTTGTAATAGAAACCAATAAAAGGATTACAGCTTTAGTTTACTTAATGTAATATAATTCAGATAGCCATGGTGGAGTCTGTACATCATCGACAGGTATAAAACACATGACTGCATTGGGGGGTACTTTATTTATAGTTTAATTATTGAAGCTTTATTTTTAAAAGTTCTACTGTGTACATAACTAAAACAGATTTCCTCACTAAAATTAAACATTTATTTTTAGGAAGTTTGTAAATGAAGGTAACTATGGCTTCCTTATGAGAACTGCTTACATATTAAAATGATTTTTATTTTTACTGACGTTTTCTGATTACAACTGTAATTATAGAAAAAAAACCCTTATGGACATATACGTAGGGCATAATGTATGTAGATTTTGAAATGTCCTTTTTTCCTAATAGTGCATTTAATATATTTTAGCATGTCCTGACTTTTAGGATCTTGTGTTTGAATAACTGTTATGTAAAATTAATTTAACCAGATTTCCCCTTTTCTCCAGACTTCTTCACTCCTAACTCCTTTCCTCCCTCATCTCCTTCTCTGCTTCCTCCTCTTCCAGTTGCTCAGGGGAGAAAAATGAAGTATACTGTTTTTTTTTTTTTGAAATGGAGTCTCGGTCTGTAGCCCAGGCTGGAGTGCAGTGGTGAGATCTCGGCTCACTGCAACCTCCGCCTTCCGGGTTCAAGCCGTTCTTCTGCCTTAGCCTCCCAAGTAGCTGCCACTACAGGTGCCTGCCACCATGCCCAGCTACTTCTTTGTATTTTTAGTAGAGACGAGGTTTCACCATGTTGGCCAGGCTGGTCTCGTACTCCTGACATTAAGTGATCTGCTCGCCTTGGCCTCCCAAAGTGCTGAGATTATAGGCATGAAGCCACTACACCCGGTCTGAAGTGTACTTTTATTACGTGATTGAATTTGCAAAGGGAAATGTTTAGTTAAAATAAATGAGATTTTGCAGGTTTGGCTACACCTGATACTTAATAATAGATGCTAGATTGCTCATTGGTGATGAAACCACATCTTTGGTTATGTATTTGTCTACTAGATCCCAAAATGTTCCCACTTAGGGAAATTCGTCACCCTGTATCAGAGTAAATTTTTCTGGGATATAAAGAGAAATTATAGACTGCATAAAGTTATGTCATGTTCTCCAAGAAGAAAGCTACTGGCGCCATGTGGGTATTTAAATGTAAAGTAAATAAAATTAAATAAAATTAAAAATGCAGTTCCTCAAGTCAAGCCACAGCTCAAGTGCTCAAAAGCCACATGTGGCCAGTGGCTAACCATATTGGACAAACGGCTATAAAACATTTTCACCATCACAGGCAGTTCTATTGGATAGCCTTGGGGTAAAGTCTATATGTATTGCCTGTTAATTAGAATTTAAAAATCATTTTTTTCCCTTTTGGTTATCATGAATAGTAATAAAAAGCAGAATTTCTGTCAATATTTTTGGAAACAGCAAACAGCTCAAAATTATTTAGAGTAAATTTTTACTCCCCTGCCAACTTAATTTTTAAAATGATGCAGTAAAGTAAAACACATATCAACACAGGGTTACCAGCACTTTGAAATTCTGGAACATTTAAAAAATGTTTGACATGGTACAAAATCCAGGAGTGGGCAGGCTAGAGGTGGGATATTCTATCAATTGGGTCAGGATCTAGAGAAGATGATGGAAGAGAAACTGACTATTTGTAAAAGACGCTCAGAAGAAGCAAATGAAGCGGAGAAATAATGTATTTATTTGGGGCACATACTTTTATGTTATAATTAGAGTATTCATGGAAATTAACCTGGGAAAATTGGAAGCCATCAGAAAGAAAACACAAGGGATGAAGAGGAACCATCAATGAGAAAGAAAATATAAGGGATGGAGAGGAACCACCAATGATGAATTTAGCTTAGTATGATTGGTTTTTGTTTTAAATGATGTGTTCATAGTTTCTCAAATCAAATCTAACTTTTTATAGCTTGTAGTCTTTAAAGGTTGTTTATTACCTCGATATGATACATCTTTAAAGGTTCTAAGATACTAAGTAAAAATGTCGCTCTGATTATTCTGGTAATATCATAAGTGTCAAAATTCTTTCCCTGAAGCTTTGCATTGTGTACCAGGTTGCCAAAAATGTAATAGAATCCTCTCTTAGCAATAGCATCTGGCTAATCAGAATAAAATTTATCTTCCAGACTTTTACAATGGAGTTTGGTTAGCTTTGAGTATAGTTAGAGTGTATTACTTGATACCTGTTAAAGACAGGAAATTGTGAGGTGCAACTGTTTTTCGTATATGGTGGGGGACATTTTTCTTCAACTATAAATAAAAAGAGACTAAAGTGAGTTTTCAAGTACAAAATGTGAAAGGACGCCTATTCAAGAGCTGAAATAGATGAAACTGAAGTGCTGACAGTTATGTGTTTGTCAACAGGTCTTTTGTTTCTCAACCTTCTGCTAGATTTTTTAAGGAACTCAGTCTGTCTTACATGGCATTTACGTAGATTCTTGCCTTTGTGTTTCTTGGGTCACAATAATGGGAGATGAAGGACTAATTTTAAAAATTTATTATTATAAGTATTGTACAATATGAAAAATGATCTCATTTATGCTAAATAATTATAAGAAATGTCACTAGCTATGAGAAATCCCTTCATTTCTTAGAAATTTGAAGTTGAGGGGGAAAGTTGGCAATTTCAAAGAAAAGAATGAATAAATATAATAAAAGGAACAGTGTGCTTGGGCAGATGTTCCTGGATGTGGCACCCAGGCGCAAATAGTGCCAGCTTCTTCCCTCTTGACAGTGATTCCATACCAACCTGCCAAAATTCGGCTGGCAGTTTATTGCTTTGCTTTAATCATAATTTACATTTTTAGCAGGAATATAAACTACAACTGATACTTGAAATATTGCAGCAATAGATTTTAGAGATAATAGACATCACAAAACTTACATGTTTATTGAGGAGAAAGACAAAGGCTTAGGTTTCAAGTGGGTTCTGTTTGATAAAGACTGTTTTTTCCATCTGACTCCATGTTGTAAACACTGGGCCATAGTAATAGATGAATTAGGCACACATACATGTCACCTATGGGTTTATATTAGCATATACAAACATGTTACATGTACGTAATACGTCATAAACATATAACTTTAGGATATCCAAGGATTCAGATTCTCTTTTCAAGTATAACAGTATGCAGCTATCTGACATTTTTCGCTACCAGGTGAACTTATATGCATTTGATTTTCTTCCAGATTCATGAAAAACTACACTACTATGAGAAGCAGAGTCCGGTGCCCATTCTCCATGGTGCGGCGGCCTTGGCCGATGACGTAAGTGTGCCTCTCCGAGCTCACCGGGACGTGTCTGCTGCAGACCTGGCCCAGGCAGAACCTGTCCTAGTGCAGACAGACGCCTGTGATCCTATGAGTGAAAAGCAGAAGAGGTTACAAATGTTTCAAGAAGTCCTGTCATCACTGAGCTTATGTTAATATTATGTTGATTTTCATTCACTTTCCTGTTCTAAAAATTTTGCATGTAGCTACTCTCTTGTTCTGCTTTGGTAACTACGTAATAGGAATTTTAGGCTTTAAACTGGTGGAGAGAGAGAAGCTGTCAGCTGTTGGTGTTCTGAGAAAGTCACAGACAAGAGGAATGTTATGGAGAAATAAAGACAAATGAGATAGCTCTATTGCTGACAGTACTAAAAAATGACAGATACTAGGATACGAACGAAGCATATGAAATACATAAAAAGACAGGATTGTTTTTATAATGGATTATAAAACATAGTAATGATTTATGGATATTAGGCTTTTCCAAATTACCTTCATAACCAAAAAATAAATTTTAGAAGCAGTTGGCATTGATGGAGTAGTTAATTTCCTGTAGCTGTAATTTTATTTTAAGCTTGGGGCAAGGGAACTAGCTCGCTGATTCTTACTGTTAACTTTCGGACTCGGATGAATTGAGAACACACCTGGATAAACTATAAAGGACACGAAACTGGAATAGAAATATGTTTAGTGTGAAGGCTGGTTTTAGTGATATCCTGTAGCGTATTTGTTGCTTTTAATATTTTTTTCCTTTATTTTTGATAAGACAAGCTATAATTCAGTGTGGTAAAATATTCAGGCCATAATATAATTAAAAAATTGGCCATCTTGAGAAGTTGATTTTATTTGAACTCCTTTGCATTCTAATTTAGAAAATACACATAGGTAATAAATACGCAGGTTCCGTGCTACTTGTTTAGTTCCCATTTTTCTTTCTGTTTTTATCTACAAAGATTACAAGTATGTTTCAATATGTATTTAATGAGGAAGCTTACTTCTGCATTATTGAAACAAAACTTTTAAAGTGAAGGTGAATGAAGATGTAGATACGCATGCTCAAGTAAGGCACAGTTGCCACCCAAGAAAACCTTAAAAAAGTCAGTTTTAAAACATTTACTATTCAGAGTTTTGGGAAACATTTGTTTATAAACCAATGTTGTGTGATTCAATCATATTGCAACAATATTCCTTTATAAAAAATTAGAGACTGCTGTGTAAATATGATAAACCATAGTATCTTATAATTTGTCAGAGCAGTATATTTAAATGTTAAAATGTTATGTTTTAAGTGACTAAAGTGTGCAAATGACCTCTGTGTCTTTTTGTAAGTTAAAAATGCTGTAGAAATATTACCTCAAAAAAGTAAAAGCAATGTTTGAAAGGTAATTAATGACTGTATAATTTTCTATGATTTTATTTTTGGTGTATAATTTATATTATGCCCTTCTTTTAGAGAAAAGTCCTTTTCTAGAGATAAGAACAATTATTTTTAGCTTGGTAGAAAAAGTAGGGGCAAATGGAAATTTCATGCAAGGTTTTAAGATGAGTTTTTAAATAAAAATACATTTATATATATACCACATATTTCATAATTCTAGCCTTTTTTCCTGTTTGAATCTTGCTTTTCTTATGAAAATTATGGGATCTTTCCTATAGCCTGAAATTGAATTGGAATTTCGATAGGAATATCTCTTAATGGAAGACCTGGGGCAGGTTTGAAGTTGTAACACTTTCTTTATGTAGAACCCAAATGGGAATTCTTGGTTATTATAGTAGAGTACAGTCAGCATTTTTGGTACCAGGGTAGCTGTCAACCCATTATAGCTCGTTTTACGATTGGTATTATGATTGGTTGGCATTTAACAGATTTCTTCATCTGTATAGGTAAACATAATAAAAGTTTCAGGCCATTTGCTCTATTAGGGACATTCTAATTATTTTTACCCTAGCTCTAAACAGCACAGCTACTGTGGGTTTTTGGAATCCCCATGGGTTTTTGGAAACCCTGTGGATTTCACCACTTCATTCAGAAGCTCTGTTTTTGTGGGGGGTGGGGGAGGTTACAGTGTCAAAGCTTTATCCAGTTCTTACAAGTGGTCCTTTGTCTAGGTGCAAAAGACCATTCACATGGACGAAGTGCTGGGGTTTGCCCTCCTTGCAATAAATCAGAAGGTGATCTGGCTGATACGATTACTTGATTTGTACTCAGCCGAGAGCCTGGGCTCGGATCTGGACTACCGAAGGCCTAAAAGGAAGAGCAATGATTGACGATCTGTTTTTTTTTTTTTTTTTAATGCTGACCTCTCCTTAAAGATTGGAAAGCAGTAGCGTTGAGCTAGTCAGATTCTCAGTTGTCACACACCCAGTCCCACAATGCTCTTACTAAATGTTCTTTACATCAATGTAATCTCCCTTGCAGCTGGCCGAAGAGCTTCAGAACAAGCCATTAAACAGTGAGATCAGAGAGCTGTTGAAACTACTGTCAAAACCCAGTGTGAAGGTGAGGACATGTTACGCTGGTAATAAATACCTTCAAACAGGGCCACTTTCTGAGCCTTCAGATGAATTTTGTTTCGAGCATCAATTCTCAAGTAAATGTATTTCAAATAGGGCACAGTATTCTAATAGCCTAAATCCTATTAATGAGAAAGAGGTGAGCTTTTGATTATAATGTGATGAGAAACCGCAAAATACTCTTATTGGGAAGCTCAGAATTTAAGTTCTGACAAATATAATGTAGCTTCAAGGTCATCTTCGTTTTAAATAAAGTTAAGAGTACACTATACAGAACCTACTAGTAATTTTGTTTAGGTCTATTGTACTTGGGTAGTTAATGGGATTCCAATATGTTTGACAAAGATACCTATTTTTCTGTAGGATCATTTCAGCATTCCTCTTTCTTTCCCCGTTCACCTCCCCATTTCCTGTCCCTTTACTAATTTACGTTTCAAAATGTCATTCCGTTTTACAGAGAAGAGCACTTTTCCAGTGTAAAATACTCATAAAATATTGGCAGACAGATTTCAATTCTCCCTTTCCCATTGCCTCCTAAGTTTATCACTTATTTTTCCTCCAAATGTGATCAGTTTACAGCAGGCATTTCAGAATTTTCCTGTAGTTATTCTGAGATCATTACTGCACTAAATCCTGCACTGTATACATTTTGGACTTGACTCTGTGGCAATTATGTGTCAGATATTGTTCTGTGAGTCAGAATTACATATGGATTACATAATTACATAATTAAAATGCTCATTTAACTTGTGATGATTACTGGTGAGCATATGTAGAGTGTTGGATGAAAATCTCTTCTTAGATACAAAAACTAGTTTCTACTTTTCTTGAGAAATAACTTTCGGAATTGTGCCGTACTTGGTTTTGAATTTATTTTTATAAAAAGAGAGATGGTATGAAATAAAAGACGAGGTTAAAAACATGCATGGACTATAAGCCCTAATCTCTGTAAGTAAATAGAAGTACATGAATGTATTGCTGTAAAAGCTAAACAGGCTATGATTAGTGATGTGGGGGTAATTGATTTGTTGTGGTTTAGGAAGTTTATTAAATTTTTGTTCTAAAAGAGCAAGGATCAAATTAGAGCAGAAAAGTTCCTTGATGTTAAAGATAAATGCTAAAGAGATTTTTTAGCCACAGAATGTTCTGAAGATTTCTTCATTTGGTCTTAGACTGCCCCTGAGAAGTTAGTGTCACCCAGGGGAGGGTGAGGTTAGCTATGAGTAGCTTGTTAAACTCCTTTTTGAGTTTATTGTTTTGGTTCAAGGGTATTAGAAATGAAAGCAGCATGTTTCAGACAAAAAATATCCCCAATCATGGTATTTGGTTCAAGAGTGTTTCAAATGGAATAGCTAATTATGCAATATTATACTGGATGAGAACTGGTATTTGGCTCAAGAGGGAGGTATGACTTTAGACGTTATTAAGAAGGGCCATTTGATAAAATTTTATAATAATTAGTTACATTTTATTATGTGGAAAATATTTTAGGTAGATAATTCGGTTATTTTTCTTTTTATCTAGCAGTGTGACTAAAGAATGGTATGAAGTTGGCATGAAAGACATGTATTCATATGTGTAGAAAATAGGTAATATTCCAGGATACATGATGTTTCGTTTGGCAATGCCGGTTTGTAGTTAGCTAGTCTTGGGAAGAAAATATCTTTTTTCCCTTTTTGATCTAACATTTAACATTGCTTTTCTTGAAGTCATTCTTAATCTATCATCACTTTGACCTCGTTTCCATATTACTTTAACAAGTTAAGCCCCCAAATAAATTTTAGACTATTTCAGGATATAATCAGTTAATCTATTTTTACCCTGGGAGTAAACTAAAATCTTTTTTTGTTTGTTTTCCTTTTAAGCAGAAGCAAGGTATGTAGGTTGTTAGTTGAATTGACAGTTAAAATATGAAAAATATAACTCTAGTGTGTTAATTTGAATATTATCTTTAATTTCTAGTGGATTAGGGAAGTTACTTTTTAAAGATTTGCTATTTCATTTTAAATACTTAATTCATTGGACTGAAAAGGAAGTTGAAGTATATCTTCAAAGTAATAGAACTTTAAAAAAACAGATACACACACAGACACACACGCGTGCACACACACACACACAACCAAATATGCACCCACTCTGGGAAGATAACACACATATTCCACACATCTGCCAATTCTTTTTGAAAATTTGTATAACTTTCTTTGGCAGTTTATAAATGTCACCAGCAACAGATCTTCACTCATCCATTTATTCTTAGATTTTCTTTCTTCTAATGCCTAGTGTGTGCCAGGCCCTATGGATGCAGATTATAGAAGATGTATGTGCACTAGTGAAGGTGATAGGAGAAATACTGGATTTAAAAGAGGGAGTGCATAGAAATGATATGGTATACATAGGAATGGCGCTAAACCCAAACTTAGGCAGGGGGAGAATATTGAAGAAAACTTTACAGAGGAAGTGGCATGTAAGTTGAGACCTTACGTTGGAGTTTGAGGGAATCAGAAGGGTACAAAGGAGTGGGAGATGGGTCGGGGGTGGGATGTGAAAAAGAAATGATTTAGGTACAGGGAAGAGCATGTAAAGTCCCATAAAGGAAAACTTTAAATTTGAAGATGTGAAAATGCAAAACCAGCCTCAGAACAGGCAAACAGTGGCTTGTGAAGGAAGAAGGAGTAACAGTTTGGAGCTGGGGAGTCAACTTTTTGAGTAGGGTTTGCCCAGGACAGTTGGCTTCATGCCTGCAGTTCCAGCATTATTAGTAATAGCCTTTCTCCCACTTTCAATTGTGTCCCTATTTGGGTGATAAATTATATGGCCACACCTGAAATCATGAGCTTTTTTAAAAAGTGGAAAGCCATTGAAAGGATTTGAAGCAGGAAGTGACATGTCCCTCCATATGTAGTCTACAGACTAAGCTTTTGAGGGGTTTGATGGTGTAGAATGGGAGAAATACAATACTGAATGGAGGAAGGCCACTGGGAGCCTGTAGGAGTAATTCACATAGAACACTAGCACTTTGGGAGCCGAGGTGGGCTGATCACCGGAGGTCAGGAGTTCGAGACCAGCCTGGCCAACATGGTGAAACCCCATCTCCACTAAAGATACAAAAATTACCCGGATATGGTGGGGGTGGCGGTGGCAGGTGCCTGTGATCCCAATTACTTTGGGAGGCTGAGGCAGGATAATCACTTGAACCTGGGAGATGGAGGTTACAGTGAGCCAAGATCACGCCACTTCACTCCAGCCTGGGTGAAAGAGTGAAGCTCTGTCACACATACACACACACACACACACACACACACACACACACACGGCACACGATTCAGGTCCTAATGAAAGAATGTGGGATGGGTAGAAGGAAGTATGGGGGATAGGCAGCTTGAGGGACAATTTTAATACATGGTCTTGGAATAACAAATAGTCTGGGAAAAAATAAGAAAAGTCACCACTAGAATGAACTCCAAATAGATTAAAACTTTAAGTGTAAAATGTTGAACCTTAAGAATATTTTTAATTGAAAAAATATATATTAGAAGAAAATTTGCAAGTTACATGATCATGGAATAGAAATGCATTTGATCCACAAAGACAGGAATACACACATACAGACACAAAGACACACCAATAAAGGAAAGAATGTTTTAAAATTGATAAGTGAGATTAGAAGGAATCATTTATTAATACATATGATTTATGATGTTTGTCCTTAATAAGACGTGATTATTACATTCACTTTTACTTTTTGCAGAGTGACTTGATAAAGACTTAAAAGGAAACAGAAATATTCTTTTTTGATAATACATAATTGTATTTTTCATTTAAATTATAAAGAAAGTAGAAGCCCCTATCCTCATTGCTTTATTAGTGAGGATGAATATCTTTTCCTATGCTTTTATGTTTTTATTTCTTCTGCGAATTGCATGTTCACATACCTCTAGGGATAACTGCTCTTGGCTGGCTGCATTACCTTTCAACCCTTTCTCTATATATAAATATTAAATGTTTTTTTCCCAGTATATCTGTGGGATCATAGAATGCACTACTTACTGTGATTTTTTTTTTTTTTTTGCTTTTAATATTTTTGGCATTTTGTAGCCTTCTCTTTATGTCAACAAAATTATCTATTTAACTTACTCCTTACAGACGAACCTTTGTTATTTCTGCTTTTCTGCTATTTAAATAACACTATGATGCACATCTTTTGTATATTAGAGGATTTTATGGAATATTTTGTCAAAATAAACTTTAATTAGGACAGTAAATTATTGGGGTATACATGATGTTTGTACATTTTACAGTTTTGATCCTTATTTCCAGCTTGTTGTTAAGACAGACCTTCTTGAGCACCTGCAGTATAGTGCATGAGAAGTCCTGTTTCCCTATGCAGTTGCAATTTATATGCGATTAATTGCATAAGCTCTTTTCGACTAATATTCTTTCTTTCTTTCTTTCTTTTGTTTTGAGACAGAGTCTCGCTCTGTCGCCCAGATTGGCATGCAGTGGCACAATCTCAGCTTACTGTAACCTCCACCTCCCAAGTTTGAGCGATTCTTTTGCCTCAGCCTCCCAACTAGCTGGGACTACAGGTGCTCGCCACCACACCTGGCTAATTTTTTAATTTTTTTAGAGTCGGGGTTTTGACATGTTGGCCAGGCAGTTGCTGAACTCCTGACCTCAAGTGATCCACTTACCTATTCCTCCCAAAGTGCTGGGATTACAGGCGTGAGCCACCACGCACAGCCTCAACTAATATTCTTTTTTAGCTTTGCTAGTTGATCACCACTAGAATATAAGCCACATGAGAATAGGGAATAAAAATTGCAGATATATAGCAAGCTTTCAGTGAGTACTGTGTGATTAAATAATGTTAATAAAAATTTTGTGTTTTTCCTAATGAATTGTGAGTGATATAAGAATATAAAATCATTATTATGTATGTCTCCTTAGTTATTTTTCTTTAATCTTACATGCATTTTCTAAGACTGG